TAATTGATAGAGATCAGAATTGCATAAAATGTAAATTCAAATAATTTGGAATCATATTTTTCACTGTTGTAGCACAAAGGCAAGATAACATCTGACTGAGGAGCAGGAGGTTCCTTTGAACCTGCTCCACCATTGAATAGGATCGATTGTTGATCTGTTTGTGGTCCCAATTCCACTGTCCTGTCTGCCTGCCCCATAACTCTTGATTCCCTCGTCTATCAAAATCTGTTTAATGGAGCCTAAATAAACTCAAAGGTCCAGTCCCACTGCCTTCTTAGCAAGAAAATTCTACAAATTATCACACTCAGAACAAAAAAAATTCCCTTTCTTAATCATGATACCTCTTATTCTTAAATTATGTCCCTTATTTCTAATGCCCCTACAAGAGGCATTCTCTGCTTTGAATCCGCCCTGTTAAATCACCTCATAATCTTGTTTCTACAAGGTCACCTCTCATTCTTCTAAACTCCAGTGGGTGAAGGACCAAACTGTCCAACCATTCTTTGTAAGACAGGCAACTGGCAGCAAATCAGTCCATTCCTAAGCAAATGGTTAAATTTCTCTAAAGTTAACTGGGTCATTTCTGCTTTTTAATTTATGCAATCTACATATAAACCCTGATGCAAATTGCTGGACATCCCGGACAGTTGCATATTTGTTAAGAATTAGTTGCTGAATTTGCTTGCACCTTGGGCTAGCAAGCTTTTGAAGAGAAACAGGATGGTTTGAATTGTCGTGAGATGAATGTGTAACTTAGTTTTTGATTCAAGAAGTGCTGGTGCAAGGAGAAAATTGTAATGGCGTGAACCATGAGTAAATAAAATGTAATTTAAGGGTTATGGTAATAAGCATAGGGAAAGCTATCAATCAGAATATAGAAAAATAATGTTGACAAACCATGATAAAGCCTGTTCTTCAAAGAGGTGGGGATCACTTTGATCAAGAACTCTGGTTTGAGGTAAGTAGCTTTGGAATAAACAAACGCAGCTGCTTACAGGACTATCTTCAAAGGGCTGGGAACAGTTATCCCAAGCAGTCATATCTAAGAAATATACCTTGCGATAATATGACATATAAAGGCGCACAGTTTCCAAAACTACCTCAAAGTGTTCAAGGGATACATAAAACTGAAAGAAATTGTATTTTATACATTACAGTCAATCTAGGGGCTGTGTAATATCAAAAGATACAGAAAATAATCAAAAAGACAAATGAAATGCTAGCCTTTTTATCTAAAGGATTACAAAAGGTAGAGGTCATGCCTCTTCCTCAAGCTTTATAATTATGATACTTGAATTTGCTGATGAAACAAAACTAGGTAGAACTATGAGTTTGGGAAGGCCACAAGGACACTTTAGGGGACTGGGACAGGCTAAGTGAATGGGTTAGAATATAGCAGATGGAATACAAGAATTGTGATGTTCTCCACTTCAGTAGAAAAATAGAAATGCAAAATATTTCTTAAATAGCTAGAGACGAGGCAGTGCTGGTGTCCAAAGGGACCTAGTTACCTATCATTCATGTATCACTAAAGCTAGTATGCAGGTACAATGGGTTGGCCTTCATCACAAGGAAATTGGAATACAGAAGTAAAGACGTCTTGCTGAAATCGTACAGAATCGTGGAGAGACTTCACCTAGAGTATTAGGAGGTCTGATCAGCTAAACGGCCAGCTCATGTTCCTTTAAATGTTAGTTATGAGCCTGATTGAAAATGACTCCCGGGAGATGAGTGATGGAGTGTGGTGAATTCAAGAGTGTTTGATTGGGAGAAAAGAGTTGAGTAGTCTATTTTTGTTCCTATCCAGAAAGTCTGCTCGACTATAAATACTACAAAGTATTTATGCTCACTTGAAATGTCATCAATGTTTTTATAAACCAGAGGACAAAGGAGTTTAACTGATAACATCAAGTACTGTGATATGATCATTTGAATATGTTTAATTTTGCATGTTCATACTTACCAAGCTATTAAAGCAGTGATCGAGAAAGACCAAGAGGACAGTCTGTTCTCGCAATGTAAGACCTTTATTTTCTTCAGCAAGAGATGCAGTCAAAATACACTTGAAAAAATAGGGAAAGTGTTCAGGCTTCTGCGTAAAGATCTAAAATGGAAACAACACAGGACATTAAAATAAGAACGATAAAGACAAATTATAGAAAATGTCCAGAGCAAGACTTTATGGCTATGATCAGATGCAGCTTTCAAAGGCACTGTCTGTGGTAAGTACTAGAATAATGTTTTAAGAGCTTGCTACTTTAACGTGTAGGACTGAAATTCCAAGATCCATATCTGTATTTCAGAGATTTTTAATTCATCTTTGCCTCTTGCACGTGAAGATAGAATTACATTCATACATACCAGCTTCACTTTTCACATGAATATATATTCAACACAATAGTACTAAGTATCAGACAAGGTTAAGATATAGAATATAGTTGAATGCCCTTACACTACAGTCTGCAGGTCATCCCGAGACTACAAACATTTAACAAGCAAAACTAGGAAAAATAATCAAAACGGGACGACATCTGGTCATTGCAAGATACCCTTAATCTTCTGAGACTACGTGCTGTGCGGCACACTGTTTCAGTAACTGGCTTGATATACTTCACAGTACAATATAAGCTGCTTGCTGAAATATTAAGAGATTCAAATGGTCTTTATGCAGATCACTAAGGTATATCCAGTAAATAAAAGTGACCAATGAGAACACCCACATCAACATTTCCATGATTACTGCTTCCTAATAACAACTAAATTGTCAGTTCGTTGTTATTAGCTAAGCACTGCAGCAATTCACAGATTTTTTTTTAAAGAAACAGCAAAAATGAGTTCTAGGTCTCAGAGACTCACCTGCGTTTTTGATTTGTGTTTTTAATATTAAAGTTCGTTTTTCATTCATATTAAAAATCAAAAAGGCAACTTTAAATTAGAGTCAAACTTCCTGACTCAATTCCAGTGTTGAAATAATGAACAGGGACAGTTACCCACTGAATAAAACCAGGGTGAAGAAATACCCAGCCGAATGATTCAAAGACATCCATCATGCGCACAAACAGAAACTTTAAATTAGTCAGGCAAATACAGGTAATGCAGTGACAGGATAAATAGCTTGACTTGGAACTATCATAAAATACATGTTTCAGTTGGGCTGTATTCTTATTTGAACCAAATGTTATGTATAAAAAAAGGTTGTAGTTCCAACTCAGTGCTTCCCAAAAGTTATTCCATTGTGCTTCCAGGGCTCCATTTGGGGTGGAGTGTGCAGGCGGTACAGGAGGTAGCTGGAAGACCTCCTAATAAAAAGTGAGAATTGAGTGTGTAAAGCAGAATTGTGGATGCAAGGGCTGTTTAGCCGACAAAGTTTTACTTAAGAACTAAGCTTTTCATAGGTTTTTGCACAATAAGATTCAGGCCTTCATGATCAGCCACTTAGGCCATGCCCATTATTAAAGAAACAGAGGATTTAAAGGAGATTCATAGCTATCTGTACTCAGTAAGACTCTACAGAGCTCGTCGCTACATTAAATGATGGGAACCCACAGTTTGAGAGTCCTGTTTTAAGTATTATTGCTATTGGCTACGTGGCACCCCAATTTAAGTACATTGTTTATGGCAGAGTGCTATAAAAAGAACGGCCCTGTTTTAAATGTCACAAAATAGAAGGGGACAGTGCTACCATTTTAACTGTTTGCCACTCCATGGATGCTAGCAGACCTGCAGAGTACTTCCAGCATTTTTGCATGGAATTCTTCTTTAGCATTAAATTTTTTGATGCACGTGAACAAATGAGAAAATTCTATTTTCAATTTGAATATGAAGTTGTTCCATGACAGCTTTTAGAACCTAAGCAGAAAACTCAACACGAAAGGTATTATCCCATCTGAAGAACAATGAAACATATTGTGCGCAGTATTTGTTGAAAAGAAAACACACTCTGCACTAAGTTTGGGTAGAGAATAAGCTGAGCAAACAGTACAAAAGCATAATATTGCAGATACTGGAAATCTGAAACGAAAACAGAAAATGCTAGAAATGCAAGCAAGCTAGACAGTATCTGTGAAGAGAAACAGGGTTAATGTTTTAGATTGTGATGACACTTCATCAGAACTCTGATTTTCTCCACAGATGTGCCTTCTCTGCTGAGCACTTCTGGCACATTTCCATTTGAGTAAACAGCAGACATTCTCACCAGGTATAGGAAGCTTTCTCACTATGCAGCCTTGGATCATTTCACTTTCAACAACTTCCTTGATATTCTTACTGCCCCATATAGAT